CTGAATATGAGCGCGGAAAGAACAGTACAAAACTTTGGATGAGTTGGGAAATGCTGCTGGTAAGTTTGCTCAGTAGCACAACAACTAAAGTTTCTTAAGACTCGGCTGAAAGCACTACCAAGTCGTTTTTGGCAAGTAGCTTTTTACTTTGGTGCACAGTATTGTTGCTGAATAAATCCCCGAAGGTTACGTCAACATAACAGAATTGTTAACGACTTTGTTCTGACTCAGTGGATGAAGAACTAATTTCTCAAAATAATATATAAGCTGTCAATATACACCAGGGTTTTTCACTTTTGTTAAAAATTTCAGAAGCAAAGGTAATTTACTGCTTTTAGTTAAGCATAACAGTGGCCTTATTTTTGCCACTTAGATTGGCTAAGTAAAAAGTTTATTATTTTTTAACACCAGTGCTCCTTTAATTTTCAATAATGAAAAAAAAACCTTCGCTAATAACAAGTTGGTTCTTTTCCTATTGTATTTTCTGGAATAAGTGAACTTCATTTTAAAAAAGTTATGCAAACTGTTTTTTTTAGAGATGTGTTCATCAAACGCAGTGATTCTGTACCTACCCGGCTTTGTCCGTTTCTGTTCATGAAAAGTTTAGCTTTTTTAATTTAGGTTTGGCATAGTTGGTCAGTATACATCAGTTTCTTAAACCGTAATTGAAACATAAGTTTTCCAACAGCAACTGCTCTGCTGTTTTACTCCACGTAAATTTTCTAAAATTTTTTTATGGTCACTTTCTTAACTTCTTCGAATTCTTCGACTTACTTTATTCCTGTACTGGGAATTCGGTGAGGTCATACAATGATAAATTCAAGAAATCAACTGAGAAGTGGCTTTGAAAAAACGTAAACTAGTCTCACTGTGAGACTACCTAAACTTCTTTAAATTAAGTCTTACATATTTTTCGCTTTTTACATTAATTTATTTGCACCTCAACTTCCCACCGCTTTGAAACTACTGCTTCTCTAATTTTGCTATTTATCATTGCTGTAGCTTCACAAAAAATATGAAATCAAAAATTTGTGTTTGATGACAGGTAACCACTATGAAATAAATTCTTGCACACAACAATTATTTTTGCAGATATACAGAAGTAAAACAAGAATAGAGTATTTTATAATGATATCAATGCACCTGCAAAGAAAAATCCTGTTTTTTATTAAGCCAACTTCTCAAAGAAAATCAATCATCTGATTAGCTTTTTTTTGGTAATACAGTATTCCTTCCTTTAACCTGTTCTGCTTTACTAAATTTGCCAAGTATCAAGAGCTTTTCTTCCCCATTTCATTATATTTTATTATCTCTATTTAATACAATACTAGGAACAAAATTAAGCTAAGAAGTTTGTTGTAGAAAACATTGTTGCTTGTAGGAACACAGGAGATTTAGATATAGGAATCGGGAAATCAACCGCAATCAGTTGCTTAATGTAAATTTGAACCATTAGAAGGAACAATAAACCTCATAGCTGTGGTTCATTTTGTTAGTTTTAACACATAAATAAACAAAAAAATATTTATCTCCCAAATATCATTATTTCTAAAGTACATTGAGGGGGAAACCGTCCAGTTCAAGCTAACGCTGCTTTTTTAATTTGGTAGCCCTCACCTGTCCGCTCAATTCTGTCTTCTTTGATCAGCTTTGTCAGATGTTGGTTGACATTGTTCATTGCGCCAAGCATCAGCGACCATCTTGTAGTCTTAAAAATGCAAACATAGTTTGTTTTAATCCTCCAGTATTGGAATAGTTATTTTTTAGCGAAAAGCCATCATGATTTATAATGACCGATCAGTCAAAGTGTATTAAAACAAAGAATAGGATTTTGATACCGCGTAAACTGCGCCGACAATATCTGTTACACTTGCAACACCTTTATTCTTTATAGCATCCAAAATTTGATTTTCTCTTGCATTGCGATGGCTCATATATTCCGTAATCTTCTTCAGCGGATCCTCAACAACGGGTCCGTGACCGGGGTAAATTCTGCAAGTAGATTACCGTCAATCGCTTCTACACATAAAAAATTTTAGCAAGAAACTTGCTTAAACTGCAGTTAACAGGTGCTATTTAGGCAGTCAACTAAAGCCAAACTGTTATGTAAAAGTAACCTTTTGGGCTTACGGTCAAGTATTTTTTGCAAGCTTTGCATATATAAATGCAGATCTTCAAAAATTGTTGTTCCTTCTCCAAGAATGCAATCCCCACTAAATACAGTTCCTTCTTCTTCCAAATATAAAGAAATATGGTCCATTGTATGACCAGGAGTAGCAAAAACCCTGCAAAATAATTTCTGTTCCCATGTACCAAATTAAAAACACACGGTATTTGATTTCGAACAATGCTGTCACTATGAATCTTTAAAATTCAAGTAAATTTCGGTAGTAAGTGTTTTTCCGGTACCTCAGTGTAGCTCCTTCCGTTTGGAATACTTGACCATCTTCAATGTACTGGTATACAGGGTCATGTTTTCCAGGTTCCTTTAGCTTATAAACGGGAATATCCTTATGCACAACCTAGAAAAACAACCACCAATAAAACTTTTCTAGTTTGAACCAGTTACAGTCCGATAGCAACTGAGGGAAAATTACCAGTAATTTCTTCAAATACATTGCAGCACTGTAAAAAAAACATTTCAATGATCAAAAAACGACGTGATCAAAAGCCTTAATATCACAGGCCTTTAACATCTCAACAATAATACTGTTAAAAACCGGTCATTTAGCACAAATAAAAATTTTTAAACGCAGAAAGTGAATTCTGAAAGGTAAGATAAAGAATAAGTTATATCCGGCAGTGTCGAAGAAAAAAGTGACCTTTTTAAGTACATCATCTACACCTCCAACGTGATCGCCATGCCAATGTGTACATATAATACTGCTAATTTCGTTATCACCCAGAACTTTTTGAAGCTCTGATATGTAGGCACTGATTTTCTCTTCTCCAGTATCAATGAGGATTCGCCTGTAAGATAAAAATACGTAAAACAAGAAGATTCTTGAGTTTGAAACTTTTTTTT